ACGGGCAAGACCACTTGTTCAATGAGGACGCAAACACCGGCTTTCTTGCCGGGTGCATTGCTCCTCACCTGTGATTCTTCAAAGATTTTAACTTTTAAATCTTCAGGATTAGGCAGTGTATCTCTCGATTCTATTGCGATGCGGAAATTCTCGTAAGAAGTCGGCAAGCTGTATAAAATCATGACACAGAGCTGTATAAATTCCTTCGGGATTTTGATGTCCATGTCCTCGAGTTTATCTACTATGTCCATAAAGTTATTTAAATGGTCGCGGATGTCTTCGTTAGTGCTCATTCTCTTAAGTACTAGCTGCTTTAGTAGGGTGGCCATTCTAGCTGGCCCGGTGCTTTGATAAGTTGCCTTTAGCTTATCCCATACCAACTTTGACGTTGTGCAGCTTTTAATTTGTTTTAATTCTGACGGGGATAGCAACAAAATGATCTCTGCTTTGGCTTTGAAGTCTTCTTTGTTGAATGCCGACCTGGCTGTAGCGTCAGCTTTCGGCTGTAGTATTTTCGCGCCGCTTACTATATCCCATAGCTAATTTTTTATGAAAACAGCTTTTGCTTGAAGGCACCAGGTGTCGTAATTGGATTTCATAAATGCTTCTATAGAAATTCGATTGTTTGTAACCGTTGCCATTTTTGTAATTTTTTTTTATTTACAGTACTCCCGTAAACGATAACTACGCTCTGCTACCACTTGTTAGAGGGAGATTAAACAGCAGTTTCTATGAAACAATAACGTTTTATTATATAAGTATATATATTAATATTTTAATTCAATGACAACACAAATCGACAGACGTTTTCAATTCAAAGCTACACTATGGTATTAGCGATGATCTACGGAAGTCGAATATCGTGCCTTGCTTGCTGACAACCAACAGTAGATCTCCGGTAAACTTGGAATTACATTGTTTACAACCTTTTTTCAACAGAGGTGCATAATATAATATTTCTCACCTGGATTGATAATCTCATGGTATTGCTACTTGATACCGTCTTTTAAATTAAATCTCAACACAGTACTCTCAGCTATGATATATTCATTACCCGCCTTGCAAAAATAGTTAACGTCTATTAGATAAAAATCTTCATTAATTATATCTGCAAAGATTGGTGTCGTAAACTTTTCATTATTCTCTACACTAGAAAGTCTTATTGGTATAATAAATGTTTATTCTAAATCTTTGTTTCATTATTATTGAAAAGCTTTACAATTCAGGCACTATGCAGTTAAATATGAAGTTGCAATATCAGTATGCAAAATATGAAGATATTCAAATATTATTAATATGAATTTTATAAGTTCATAATATAAAAATCGTAAACTAATTTAAAATTGTTCCTAAAATGATAATAATTATTTCAGATTAAGACAATTACTTTAAAAAAAAGTTTTCAATGTAAATAAGGAAAAAACTATTTTCTATATATATTTCAAAAATATATAGCAGTAAAGTGGGTAGATGCATAATTTCATGAAACAAAGTTTGCTAAGTTAGTCCTGTTAGGTCCTGGGCAGCTCATTGGTTTGAGCAGTCGCCCGGATTGGTCTTGAGTTCGAGTCCCATCTCAGAATGCAAGGGACAAAGTGGATTTTGAAGCATTTTTCAATACGCATTTGACATAGTGTCCAATTTCTGCAATGTGGACGTGCCGCCGTGTATTCTAAATGAAATATGAATAGTATTTACCATCCTGCCAGCGACGGAGGGTCCAGCGCGTGTTTTCTTCTGCTCCTTGTATGTGAGAACACTCCGGAATTAGATCACCAAATCAGCGATAGATTACGATGGCGGCTATGATAGATAGCCGCGGTCGTAATCTATCGAAAAAACTCATGCTTATAATTTTAATAATCTTTGTACTAAGATAATTTTGTCTAATAACCGCTGGCTTTTTTACCAAAGTGGGCCTTATTAGTCAACCACGCCTTAATTACCATACCATATACCATCAACGACTGTAGCTATTACAATTTTGTATGAAACAGCTGATAATTTTTTCGTGAATTCAATGTCGCTTCCATAGTAAAAGTTATTCAGTATACTAAACTAATCCACCCCACTAAGTCCAGGCACATATGAATATTTCACGTTATATATAATATACGTACATCAAGGTCTGTGTCGTGGGGTACGTGGTCCCCCGGGCGCATCTCGAGCGCGGCCACGGGGCAGCACGAGTCTAGCACCGTGTACGCCCACCGCTTCACGCGAGACGTACTGCACTCTATACACTTGTCGGTCACCTCATGGATCTACACACAATGGTATCCAAACATTTCGATACATTTCCATATTTTTTTTATACTTTATACGATAACGCTTGACTACGATTCCACTTGATGGTAAGTGGTGATGAAGCCTTGGGTGGTATAGCGCATTAGCCTAGTAACAGCCTATTCACTCTTGATATTGTTAGACCTTTCAGTTCAGAATGTCTAATTCTCAAAATAGGTATCCAACGATTTCAAAAAAGATAAAAAATGTTCATAAATGTTATATACTAACCTACTTCGTATGACTCTTCTGAAGATTCAATTAAAAAATAAAGTTGAGTTCTCATAGCACCACTGCTAGGGCATAGGCATGGGTGAAACAATTTTTTTTTCATATACAATAACAATAAAAATAGTCAAATTTAATGTTAATAGTGAGATTATCCACCTAAACGTCATACAAACCTCACAGCCAAGTCCAGGCGTGTATTTAAAGGGGTCCTTCTTCAGTTGAGCAAGCGCTAGTGAGTCGTTTGGGAAACCTTCGTCACTGCGACTCTTGATGGCGTTGATCAATGTGAAAAACAACGTATTCAGTTTATATACTCGCAAGATACTGTCATCTTCAGCTGCAGGTTCAAAAACGTAACAAATATAAATTATTTTTTATTTATACTGATATACAGTGTGTCTAAACACCGGTATCCGACCCATTAAGGTCAAGTTATATAATCGATTTTATAAATAAATGTATCATAATTAGGCATTTTGCCCCATTGGTTTTAAAATGGCGGCCATTTTAATTTATCGTTAGACAGCTACAAAAGTAGGCAATTAGCTGACATAAAATTATTTTTTCATAACTCAATACCCTCAAATAATTTTTGAAATTTGAAAAAGTGTGATACAATTTGGTTGTTTTTTACATTTTATTGTTTTTACAAAAAAACCGAACTGTTATACATTTTAGGTACCCGAAGACATTACCTAAACACTGATGTAATAACCGAAGCTCCAAGTAAAATAGTTTACAAGTTATAACTATTTGAATGTCACCCTGTCATCCGAGACCCTTGAAGGACGCAGGTAAAATTTGGTAAAAATTTCATTCTATCTCTTTCACTCATTAGAGTAAAGAGAGTAAAAGAGACAGAATGAAAAGGGATCACGATGACAAAGACGTCATTCAAGTTAGTCGTCCCTCGCTACGCGTTGTGATTACACGTGTTCGTTTGTTGTACGATTTTATGTTATTTTAATACTTTCGTTACGTTTTTGTTTTACTGTTGGCCATTTTTCCGTTTTTGTTTTGCTGATGTTGAAAGAATAGAAGACGCTAATTCCGAAGGCTACAGCCGTAGGATGTAAAAAAAAACAAAATTTTTCTAAGTCTATTTAATTTCAAGTGAAGAAATTACAATTCATTATAATAAAAATGTAAACGACAAATTGCTCGATGTGTGAACAAAAAGTGACGCGTCGCGGTCTCGGCTGCGATGCGCGACCCTTGTCATCCGAGACCTTTGAAGGACGCAGGTAAAATTTTCATTCTATCTCTTTCACTCAGAGTAAAAGAGACAGAATGAAAAGGGATCACGATGACAAAGACGTCACTCAAGTTAGTCGTCCCTCGCTACGCGTTGTGATTACACGTGTTCGTTTGTTGTACGATTTTATGTTATTTTAATACTTTCGTTACGTTTTTGTTTTACTGTTGGCCTTTTTTCTGTTTTTGTTCTGTAGGATGTAAAAAAAAGAACCAAAATGTCTCTGGCTCCGTTGCAATCGTTGTTACGACGTAGACGTTTTTTCAGGTAATGACTTAGTCCTGTGGCGGTTTTGTTTTTCCGCTACCAGGCGTGTCCCCCGGGTGGCGGATGGAGGTAGTGGCTTCGGCCACCGTGGACCATGCGGCTTCAGCCGTGCATAATAAAACAGCACAAAGGAGCCCGTCAGGCGTCCCGGACTTATTCCAAGTAGCGGCTGATGGGCAGGGAGGTGGCGGGTTTTGGTTGGTGACCCTTTTCAGGGCCGTCGTGTGGAAGTTTGGAGTTTCGTCTTTAACTTTGTCGTCTGGGGTGGGCGTCGGGGTTCTATGTCCCTGACTTCGTTTCTCTTTCGGGGTTGGGTGGGTGTCGGGGTTCTGAGTCCCTGACTCTTATGAGGATAGGTTCAGGGTCGGCGTCTTGACCATATGTCAGGTAGCGGCGACGCAGTCCGGGCTGGACGGGTGTCTCGGGAATGACCCGGGTAGACGCGGCCGTGCTAGCGAGGGCGGTGGGCCTGCCATGTCGTGATGCCTCGAGCGGTGGGTGTCCTTTTAAGGACAACATCGGCCGACCCGTTACTGTCTAATAATAGATGCGATAGAAGTGCATCTTCTATCGCATCTATTACGGGGAATGCTCCGAGGAATTGTTCGGACTCATACCTGCCGCTATTTTCCGCCATCGTTCCACGCGACAAGAAATCCACGCCCATCATTTGGATGGTTGGAAGTCCTCAACTGTGCGTTTTTCTAGAAATTTCCTGCCTCGCACAGTCAAACTCTGGAACAGTTTGTCGCCAGCGGTATTTCCGGAACGATACGACCTTCAAACTTTCAAGCGTAGAGCATATTCGTCCCTCAAAGGCCGGCAGCACACTTGTAGCCCCTCTGGTGTTGCAGGTGTCCAAGGGCGACGGTAATCACTTACCATCAGGTGATCCGTCTGTTCGTCTGCCCCCTATCCCATAAAAAAATTTCATGCTTTTTTTTATTGGATTTTCTCTTTAATTTCACAATAGTTTTTATATCTTGCCGCTCATTCTCCTCCGCCTCTTTGAGTTTTTTCTCTTGTCTTTGTATTTCAGCAAAGGACACACCAGAAGAAGTGAATTGCATCTCAGGAATATTTTTCTTTCGTTTTTCTTTCTTGGCCATTTCTTCAAACTTTTTACTTACAGATGGTGGAGCATCCTTTACATTTCCATTTATTTTATCATAACGATAAATATAATTAATGTATTGTTCATACAACATCAACTTACCAATTTCAAGTTCTCAAAATCTGTTTCAATATTTTATGATCCATATTTATCTACCCTTTTTTACTGAACCTTCTTTGATAGATCTCCGGTGAACTTGGAATTACATTGTTTACAACCTTTTTTCAACAGAGGTGCTTATTATAACATTTCTCACCTGGATTGATAATCTCATGGTATTGGTCCTTGATACCGTCTTTCAAATTAAATCTCAACACAGTACTCTCAGCTATGATATATTCATTACCCGCCTTGCAAAAATAGTTAACGTCTATTAGATAAAAATCTTCATTTATTATATCTGCAAACAAAGATTGGTGACGTAAACTTTTCATTATTCTCTACACTAGAAAGTCTTATTGGCATAATAAAGTTTAATTGTAAAGCTTTGTTCGATTATTATTGAAAAGCTTTACAATTCAGGCACTATGCAGTTAAATATGAAGTTGCCATATCAGTATGCAAAATATGCAGATACTCAAATATGATTAACATGAATTTTATAAGTTCAGAATATAAAAAATCATAAACTAATTGAAAATTGTTCCTAAAATGATAATAATTATTGCAGATAATGGCAATAAATAAAAAAAGTATTTAATGTAATCCACAAGGAAAAAAAACTATTTTCTATTTATATTTTAAAAATATAAAGCAGTGAAGTGGGTAGTTGCATAATTTCATGAAGCAAAGCTTGCTAAAGTAGTTCCATAGTAAAGGAAACATTTTTTGTAATAATATTTTTAGATAAATTTCACATTCACTTCTCTATTATCCTCAAGGTTATGAAGTACAAAGGAGTGATTCTTCATCTTTTGCCATTTACCAGCATTTGGGAAACACAAATCTAAACTAACATTATTATTAAATACAAGTAAATATTATTATTTCAGTTGCAAATAAAAGCCCCAAATTAACATGCTTGCAAAAATAAATGCTACTGCTTTCTTCAGTAAGCAAAGTAAACACTGAGAGCAAGGAAATTATTATTGGAGCTATTACTTCCATTGTCTATGGAAATAATTTAAAATGATTAAACCGGTTAAGTGTTAAATTTAAGTAGTAAAGCACAAACTTTCTCTATGACATGATGCATTAAATTAATAAAATATTACTAGTATTTTTTTTTTCAACTTACCTCCATTAAAACTCTTTAATTTCACAATGTTTTTTATATCTTGCCGCTCTTTCTCCTCCGCATCTTTGAGATTTTTCTCTTGTCTATCTATTTCAGCAAAGGATACACCAGAAGAAGTGAATTTCATCTCAGGAATATTTTTCTTCCGTTTTTCTTTCTTGGCCATTTCTTCAAACTTTTTTCTTACAGATGGAGGAGCATCCTTTAAATTTACATTTATTTTATCATAACGATAAATATAATTAATGTATTGTTCATACAACATCAATTTACCAATTTCAAGCTCTCCAAATCTGTTTCAATATTTTATGATCCATATTTATCTACCCTTTTTTACTGAACCTGTAGATCTCCGGTGAACTTGGAATTACATTGTTTACAACCTCTTTTCAACAGAGGTGCTTATTATAACATTTCTCACCTGAATTGATAATCTCATGGTATTGGAACTTGATACCGTCTTTTAAATTCAATCTAAACACAGTACTCTAAGCTATGATATATTCATTACCCGACTTGCAAAAATAATTAACGTCTATTAGATAAAAATCTTCATTAATTATATCTGCAAAGATTGGTGTCGTAAACTTTTCATTATTCTCTACACTAGAAAGTCTTATTGGTATAATAAACGTTTATTGTAAAGCTTTGTTTCATTATTATTGAAAAGCTTTACAATTCAGGCACTATGAAGTTGCAATATCAGTAGGGTAAACAGACAGTCATTGGACAATTAAGCGCATAAAATAGTTTGAAAATTTTTTTTCCATCGTCTATTACAGTATCTTAGAAACTGTAGAGATATTATGAAACTAGATAAAATGAGCTATTATAAGAATCATTTAAAAATCTTACTTCTTGTGAATAGTTGAAAAATATTGTTATATTAAAAAAAATGAACAAAAAACAGTTATTGGACAAAAATTATAATTATTGGACAGTCGGAAACAATTATTGGACACTCGATTAATATAGCGAAATAATAGTTAAAAACGTGATAAAACACCATAAGAACATTTTGTTTACTATTATTAGTACAAAAATTGGTTATCTAAATAATAAAAAATAAACACCTCTGAAAACTTAATAGGTAATATGCAAATTATTCATTACTAAACTCTGGATTATTCATAAGCCAGTTCTTGCTGTATCTTTCCATGCTGCCTTAACTGGCCGAACAGCTACGTCAGCCGGCATAAATGCAAAAGACCAATTTCTTCTAAATACTGGTGTATCTCAACATACCATTTCCGAATGTCTTGTTCTGAGATATTTGCGCTAGACTGCGTAACTCCCTCACTAGTCCGTTGGATAATGTTGGACAAAAAAAGGATTTGACCGTGGATTTTCCTCAAGAAATTTGGATACACTACGTTGCAAATTTTCAATTTTTTAAGGGATACCCTTCTTTATTGACCTTATAATCCAAAGTTCTAAGATAGACTCTATATTTTTTGTTAAAACTGGTTGAGGTCAGAACGAAGTGATCAGGATTTTTTAATTTAAAATGGAGAGTGGACTTTGGGATATCTTATTTTAGAGCAATTTCTCTAATTTAAAATGATTAAGTAGTAAAGTACAAACTTTCTCTACGACATTATACATTTAATTAATAAAATATTACTAGTATTTTTTTTTAACATTACCTCCATTAAAGCTCTTTAATTTCACAATATTTTTTATATCTTGCCGCTCATTCTCCTCCGCCTCTTTGAGTTTTTTCTCTTGTCTATTTCAGCAAAGGACACACCAGAAAAAGTGAATTTCATCTCAAGAATATTTTTCTTTCGTTTTTCTTTCTTGGCCATTTCTTCAAATTTTTTTCAGATCCTTTACATTTCCATTTATTTTATTATAACGATAAATATAATTAATGTATTGTTCATACAACATCAATTTACCAATTTCAAGCTCTCCAAAACTGTTTCAATATTTTATGATCCATATTTATCTACCCTTTTTTACTGAACTTGTAGATCTCCGGTGAACTTGGAATTTCATTGTTTACAATCTTTTTTCACTAGAGGTGCTTATTATAACATTTCTCACCTGGATTGATAATCTCATGGTATTGGTCCTTGATACCGTCTTTCAAATTAAATCTCAACACAGTACTCTCAGCTATGATATATTCATTACCCGCCTTGCAAAAATAGTTAACGTCTATTAGATAAAAATCTTCATTAATTATATCTGCAAACAAAGACTGGTGTTGTAAACTTTTCATTATTCTCTACACTAGAAAGTCTTATTGGTATAATAAAGGTTTATTGTAAAGCTTTGTTTCATTATTATTGAAAAGCTTTACAATTCAGGCACTATGAAGTTAAATATGAAGTTGCAATATCAGTATGCAAAATATGAAGATACTCAAATATTATTAATATGAATTTCATAAGTTCATAATATAAAGAAATCATAAACTAATTGAAAATTGTTCCTAAAATGATAATTATTATTGCAGATAAAGGCAATGAATTAAAAAAAAGTAATGAATGTAATCCATAAGGAAAAAAAACTATTTTCTATATATATTTCAAAAATATATAGCAGTGAAGTGGGTAGTTGCATAATTTCATGAAACAAAGTTTGCTAAAGTAGCTCCATAATAAAGGAAACATTTTTTGTAATAATATATTTAGATAAATTTCACATTCACTTCTCTATTATCCTCAAGCTTATGAAGTACGAAGGAGTGGTTCATCATCTTTCGCCATTTGCCAGCATTTGGGAAACGCAAAACTGAACTAACATTATTATTAAATACAAGTAAATATTATTATTACAGTTGCAAAAAAGAAGCACCAAATTAACATGCTTTCAAATATAAATGCTACTGCTTTCTTCAGTAAGCAAAGTAAACACTGAGAGTAAGGAAATTATTATTGGAGGTAGTACTTCCACTGTCTATGGAAATAATTTAAAATGAGTAAAACGGTTTAGTGTTAAATTTAAGTAGTAAAGCACAAACTTTCTCTACGACATAATAGATTTTATTAATAAAATATTACTAGTTTTTTTTTTAAATTACCTCCATTGAAACTCTTTAATTTCACAATATTTTTTATATCTTGCCGCCCATTCTCCTGGGCCTCTTTGAGTTCTTTCTCTCGCCTATCTATTTCAGCAAAGGACACACCAGTAGAAGTGAATTTCATCTCAGGAATATTTTTATTTCGTTTTTTCTTTCTTGGCCATTTTCTTACAGATGGCGGAGCATCCTTTTAATTTACATTTATTTTATCATAACAATAAATATAATTGATGTATTGTTCATTAATCCAAGCACATTAATCACATTAATCCCAAAAAAACAGGACACCATCATACTTGAAATTAAGCTCCCTACCAACACGTTTCCCTTTTCATACCAACTGAAATATTAAATTATTTTGAGCAAATGAAAAAAGGAAAATCCTAAATTAAAGACTAAATAAATAAAGTAACAAGTTAAATAGCTCTGTTGAAGAAATGAATTGACGACGGTACCGGCCGGTAATCTGGTCTGGAAACAATTATCGTGCTACAAATTTTGGAATTAAGAAAGGAAATTTATAGTTACCCTCCAAAAGGGACCAGCGGCTTCTGCGACCTCAGCCATATTTGCGTAATTAATGTTTTTTCCTTGTTTTTCTTTATAATCAATCATGAAAAGTAAAATGCGTTTCTTGGTTGTTTCTTTGGCATTTTGATAACTTTTTACAACCGAAAGTTGAAACTTTCTTTCGTAGGACCAATACCAATAAGAAAACCGCTCTCTGCTCTCTGTTCCTTTGTTTTTAAAAGGAAAAGGAAAGGAAAAGTGAGAGAAGGGGGTTTTTGCTGCCAATATGTTGTGGTGTGAATTTCAAATAATCTTTTCATTTGATTTGACAAATTCGAGAATGTTTGTTGTAGTCCGGGGAAGGTTTAAACGGTGACGAAATATGGAAAAGTCGCGAGGAAGAAAGTAATAGTTATTGTTACAGATCAAAATTTTCAGTAATTCTAGCAAAGGGAGAGATTTAATGTCGTTAAATCAAATCAAATCGAAATTATTATTCAGTCCAGGCGTGTTCAAGCACTTGTGAAAGTCGACATCCTCGCCATTGGTTCGTAAATCTACGGCGGGAGACCTTGTACCGAGAAGAACCGGCAAGAAACTCGGCAAGGGCTGCTTTTTTCTTCCAGTTTTACGAGGGGTGTTCAAAAGTAGTGAGATTGGCTATGTTAGAGAATGGATTTATTTAATTTTTTTATTTTTATTTTTCAACGTAATCACCCTACACGTCAATACATTTAGCAAATCGTTTTTCTAGAGCCAAAATTCCCATAAAAAAAGTCTTATCTTGAGTACTTAAAAAATCGTTTACGGCGGCCTTCACTTCTTCGTCATCTTCAAATTTTGTGCCTCTCAAGTGTTCTTTCAAATGCAGAAATAAGTAAAAATCACTAGGGGCTAAGTCCGGTGAATATGGCGTATGATCGAGGATCTCAAAGCCAGCATCTTGGATTGCTGCCATGGCAGCAGACATGTGGGCCGGCACGTTGTCTTGATGGAACAAAACTTTTTTCGTGACTTTTCCTCGTCTGAACCCATGATCTTGCCGGCGGATGGTTGACTTTTGAATTTCTTTGGTGTGGGAGATGTCGGTCTTTTCCAGGACTTTGATCGTTTTTTCGTTTCGTGATCATAATGATGAAGCCATGTTTCATCCATTGTTACAAATCGAGCCAAAAAAAGATCAGAATCTCGTTGAAACAGTTCCAATGAGCTCTTTGAAAAGTTGAATCGCGTTTGCTTTTGTGCGTCCGTTAGCATCCTCGGGACCCAACGCGCGGTTACCTTTTTCATTCCTAAGTGATCTTGCAAAATGCTATGCACACTCCCACTTGAAGTCTTCAACTCTTCAGCTATAAAACGGACAGTTACACGGCGATCACTCACTCCCGAACCAGTGACCCAGGAACAGATAAGGGCAAAAAGAGACAAGATTGGAGACAGTTGAGGAGCACCCGCATGAAGTTACGGTGTAATCGCTCGAGTCAGATTAAATAAAAAATAATATAAATGGTAATGTAAAATTTATTATAAATTTTTATAAAAAAATACAATTAAATTAAGTATTCTTTAAGTTAATGTGTGATTAACTCAAAGAATACATAATTCGAATATATATTGCACAAAGCTCTGCTGTCTTAAAGCCAAATATATTTTTATTTAAGACGTTTTTCGGATGACCAGCAAAGTTTACATCTTAGAGATAGAAAGTAATGTACTTATTAACTATGTAATAGTTCAAACTTTACTAGGATTATAAAGAGAAAAGATTTGATTAGATTGTTTCTTTGCATTGAATAGGGTCCCCAAATACTGGACAGATTTAAAAATAAAATTCCCCTATGGGAATCTACAACATGCGCGTGTGACTATGTTATAACATGCGCGAGCGCATTCGCGGGTACAGCTAGTAATTAATAAAACAACTCATATTGTCAAATAACATTCTTTAATCATCAATATAAACAAAACTGTAATTGGATCATTTAACAATTTGATGCCTTAATGAATTCACATATTTACTTATAATCTAAACCTAAGCTAAACGAAATATCACAAATAATAAAAAATTAAAACTGCAATGTTTTTGCGCTGTTTTAAGGCTTTGGTGAAATGTAAACATAAAATGTTAAACTAAACTAAAGTTTTGATATCCTAAGTCAAGTTAGTACAGTAACATGTTAACAACATCATATTTATGATAATTTATATTATTGATAGGCATAATTGGAAAGCGTTAATTACACTTAATTACCGTATTAAGGTAAAATCAGGACTTTGACCAAGAACTGGAGGATAGCAAAATGATTACTTAATTTTTCATTAATCTGAGAAAATCCACCTTTTTATGAAATACCTAGTTAAAGTTCATAGACAATAGAGTCATATAGGTTATTGAACTGAAGTTCACATTTTACATAAACATTAACCAACCATAAGCCTTAGTCATTAGAGCAAAATTTATTAATGCCACGTCTTATCGGCTTAATTAATCTTTACTGTACGTATAATTTATCAGCATTCTTATTATTCTCGTCTATTAATTTCAATATGGTTATACATCTTACATATAATGATTTATGTAAAAATACATAATTAGTCGCACCTTCGCCGATGGCGAAACTATTTTATAACGACGTAAATTCAAATTTGCTGAAATCTATATCAAGGGAAAACAAAAGTACCAATATATGCCGTATGCTTAGAAGCATAAGGTTGACTTTCATATCGTAGTACACACGGTGGCGTCGACAAATTATTAATAATAGTAATTTATCCAATAACATTACCTTTTAAGGTAAGCTACATTAAGATGGCACGAAATAATTTAATTATAAAATTTAACAAAACAACTTATACTAAGTTTTAAACCGAATAGGGTTGGTAACATTAAATACTTTCAAAAAATATATTTATTTTTATAATAATCTTAATTGATGACTATTATTTTTTAATTTAGAGATATATTTCTGCCACCTTGAAATTTCATATACAATTTTTTGGCATTGATGACGCTATAGTTTACTAAAGCGTCGAAATTAATATTACGAGAGTCCGAATGAAGGTCGCCGCACAAGTGACGGTGTCAAAACTGGGATGGGATGAAGAGTTATGAAATTATGATGGGTTTTCATCAAAATTGTTTTTTTATCCAACGAAACGTGTTCAAATATCCTTCAGGATAGTCTAATATCCATCATATCCCAGTGATCTATAATGCACGGTCCAATACACTTTTTTCTATGAAAAAATGGTGTCAAAAATCACTATCAAACTTGCAATACGTGTGCACCAACCTTTAGTTTTCCACACAATTAATGTAATCACAAAAGTTTAAACTTTTAATGCGTCTAATTATTTTATTTTAAGGCAAGTTTAGTTAAACAATATAATATAAGTACATTTCATTGAAAATAAGCTCCAGTGAGATTCTGTAAGTTATAAACATTTGGAATGATTTTAAACGTTTAATGGAGTTTTAAAACAAGTTTACTTTACAGAGTAAAGTCAATCATATAATTCCTATTGTATCAGTAGGGCAGACTCTTGTCCAAGTATCACTGAATATAAAAAAAAATGTATTTCTTATACAGTAAAATTAATTAAGATGTCAACGATCAACATAACATTATAGGTTATAGTAAAAAACAATATCACTTATGATTACAAGTTTGTCCTTATTACCCTGCGTATAATTAATAAAATTTATATCACAGACAAAATTATTTCTTATTGATATTCATCTTGCCGAAACTACCAGACAAACCGCGACCTGGAAAAAATACCAATATAAATTGTGTAAGTTATCTTATGATATATCTAATAATAAAATATATAATAATAATATAATAACGTTTATTTCACATTAAAAATTAAAATTTAAAAATGGTGACTGTTTTAAAGGATCACAAGGATATTACATCATATAGTAATATGATCCACATCTCCCAAACTAGGGTCAACCTGAATTTTGGAAGTAGCGATTCCTTCAAAAATTTGTTTATATACCTACCCTTGAAACTAGTTTTTTTTTCTTCTTTTTCTTAGTGATCAAGCTTGTTCATAATGTAAGTGTCTTATTAAGTTTCTTACTTTTATATAATTTAAAAGTTAAAAACTTATCTTGTACCATTTGTGTATGTTTTGGTTTGTCATAAATATAAACTGGTTTGTTTATTCTATTGTACATTTTTTCGCTATATAAGCTACGTTTAGGCGATAAACGCTTGTAATCGACAGTCACAGTTCACACAGTGAGAATAAGGATGATAACTGAGTAAAAAAAAAAAGAAATTCTATTTAGTCTGTTAGTGAGATAATAGAAAAATATATAGATTCGTATTTTTTTGCCTAAATTTAACAAGAAAAGGCATAGATATAGGCATTAAAGTTCAGCAGTGAGATCTCACTACGTCACAACTGTGTAGAAATCGTACAAATCTGTGACGTCATGCGACATTTCATTGTATACATAAAAAATCGAAAAAAAATACGTATTTAATATATAAAATATATAACATGACAAATAACAAATTAGTCACATTAGCAATATGAACTGATTAATTGAACACAATGGAAGACAACCTGAAATTAAATAATGGATTTGGATGTGCACCAAATTTAGATGTGCATTTATAATTATTATGGTGTTCTTATCATATCGAATATTAAAAAAAATAACTCACCACGACCAGCAGAGAGACTTGGGAAATTATCTTCGGTCAGTTCAGGTGCCGGACGTATAGTCCTCGAATCTGTATGAGAAAATATTTATAAACATTTTGTAGCCTCGCGAGAGATTTAACGTCGACAAAGTAACAACTAGTGACGTGCCGGATAATTGACAAATGTATATCCCACGGATATGGATCTTTATTTTCTTTATCGACGTCTGTTACTTGAATCCTTGAAACGATAGTTGTAACGACAGGCAGGACATGTTCCTTTTTGCATTGCGCGGTTATATAATTTGTTTACTTTATAGTGCGGTGTGACATTGGGTGTGACACAATAACGTTTGTGTATGGTTTTGTAACAATAAGGTAAGAGTTAAAATAAAGTAGCTTCGAGTTATATATTATTGCTTTGGTAACTTACCGCGATAAATGTTTGATATATAAAGGTGTTACAGATTTTAAGAAATAAAATATATTCTCAAAGGAATTTAAGTTTTTTTTTTCCACCAATTTTAGAGTAACTTTTCAATATATCAATTGAAAATGAATAAGGTAAAAGATCCGCGAGAAAAGTAACTTGACCATCACTAGTAACTACAACTTAACCAAAGTTAACAAATGTGACGTAAAATGATTTTTAGACAAAACTAACGTGTGTTTGTGTATTTATTGTGTGTGTACAGTATGTTTACCAAACGTTGTATTCACTTACAGTCAGTTTTCGGCATACGAAGAGGGACATGGGCGGGCTTCTCTTTTTTCGGAGCTAAAATAAAAAAAAAACATAAGTGTAGTTTCTGTACTGAAAGATAAGTCACGAAATTGCACAAAAACTAAAACTTACATCATAATGAGCAAAGAGATTCTGATTTTAAGTCTTAAATTCGCACGGTTATTCTAATATCTTAAAAGTATTAGCCGTGATTTTTTTGTATATGTGTCACGTGATCAAACACGGCCCGACATTGTGTGACGTCACTGTGGCGACAACTGTCATATTAGTCACAAAGATATACCTATTAACTATAAATCAAATTCTTAGATGGCGTCGGTTTTAGCTGTGTGTATCTTTTTAGTGCGTAATCGATAGTTAAATGGCATTGTACTTGTTTTATTGGCATCTTTTAATCTTCTACTCTATGCATGTTTTGTGTACATATTACAATGACGTCAAATACAAAAAAGGTTTCAATTTTAATTTTAAGGCAAGAAAACGTGTTTATTTTGCCGAAATATTTCATGGCTTTTTTAATAAAAAAATAAATAAAAGCTTAGAAGTATTATATCAAATAGAGCAGAATACCCTACTGAAACATTCTTTTAACAAAACTGTTACTTCCGAAATTAAAATTATATATGAAACTCTGATATTCTTGCAAACGATTACAAGAATGTGAAGTTTATATCAATAATCAATAATCACAATTTCAACTAATTAAGATTTTTTTAATGCAAGCTGTTTTTTGCAGTCAACAATATATTAATATTTTTTGACTTATCATTATCACATACATGAAAAAAAAAATTTGTTTAATAGTAATAAGTCTATTACTATTAAATACTAACTGTTTTCGCGTGACTTCGCTCGCGTATTTTATAGGCTACGGTCACCCTTTGATGACGTAACTTCCAATAGGTGAAGGATTTTTTTTTAATTTTACATCTCATTTTCCTAGCTCCTTTTTTATAGCACTTACATTCAATAACCCATTATTCATGATTGCTTCAATGAATCTCAGGTACCTCGAAATAAGTATAAATAAGTTTATTCGAAACAAAATGCAGTGTAGTTCACCAAAGACGTATGATATTTTGAAGACCTCTCTTTACAATAGCATCTGTTGTCGCAAATTCAAATGCCTTAGCTCTCATACGCGAATAAAGATAGACAGTACTGTAATCTTCTCTCTCTCTCTCTCTATCTATTAATTATATTTTATACCGTCAAGTCTCTTAATTTCAACTACTTACTGTCTAAAGATGTACCAGACTCGTTCAATGATTCGTTAACCGCTGACGTGTTGCTCGACGATGGAGCATACTATATACAAAAAAAAAACATATAAAATAACCATAAAAAAAACTATATACATATATAAAAGCGAAACGTCACTCACTCACTCATAAAGAAATCACAGAAACTACAAGTGCTAGGAGTTTCAAATTTTGCAAGCGGGTCTTTTTAGGACGTAGGTGCTCACTAAGAATGAAATTTAACCCCTAAAAGGGTAAATTAGGGGATGAAAGTTTTTATGGAATATCCTGATTTCTGGACCTAAAATTAGATCATGCAGGCGGAAAGCTAGTATTGGCATAATTGAATTTAATAGATCTACTGCACGTCAGAGTATACAAAACTATCAAATTTACTCACTCGATTTTAAACCTTAATATATTGAGGGTAGAGATTAAAATCCATTGCAGAAATTTGACATGTTATATTTTGCATTCACAATGCCATACTGAAAATTATTCTTAATACAAAATAATCTAAAAGTAACAAGTGCTTGAAGGATTCGTCAGTCCTGTTAGTTCCTGGGTAGCTCAGTGGTCTGAGCAGTCGCCCGGATTGCGAAAGGGCAAGGGTTCGATTCCCATCTCTGGGTGCCAGGGACCAAGTGGATTTTTTAAGCATTTGGACCCAAATACAAACAATCATATATTTTTTTATTATTATTATTATACATGCAGGATACAAATGTAGAAAATATATCATGATTTTTTTTTTATCCTAAGTATAAAAAAATACTGTCCCTATACAGGGACAATGGGCGTAAGTGTATGTTTTTACACATTTTTTACATTGTCATCGTACTTTTTTGTGGCAAATTACACAACGCAATTGGTTTTGCAATCTTAGGGGAAAATGTCCAACTCCATCAGTAGCTACATCACGTACGACTGATGTAGGTTTACGCCGACGATCCTGACGTCCATCACGTTTCAAATAAAACCGCACGATAGTGCGACGGAACTGAAGCTGATCCATCTTCTCTTCATGGGCCTGAATATGAAGACGCCAGGCATTAGCAACAGCCAAATCATAGAGAGTAGATGACCCACCACCATTTTTTTTACCCCGAATAGCTGATCTATACACAGCGACAGACTGGTCAGCTCGATCTACACCTCCCATCCCTTTGTTGTGATTTTGGAAAACGTGTGGTATATTCATGTCTAACTTTTTCTTTTCCGTAGTATCCCATCGCTTTACTTTTCCCAAAGGGAGAACACTGTCAAACTTGGTGCCCATTGTGCAGACGCTGTTATCAAGCCATCGTACAAATAGAATTTTATTGACAACGTCAAAACGGTAGACATCATCTGCTCGCTTTCTTTTTTTCATATCTTTGACCGATGCCAAAGGGCATTGTTTTGTCCGGTTTTCGCGTGCCGCCCTGTTGCTCGAAATCCAGCCTCACGAAGTTCTTTCAGCAATCCAAAACTGGTGAAATAGTTATCGAAATAAACTATATGCCCATTAGGTATGGCTTGAATTTTGTTCAGCAACAACTTGACCACTCTTGATCCCAAGGGTTCATTTCCAGTTGCCAACATTGATTTCCCGCAGTATATGTCGAAGCCATAACAGTAACCATCAGCACTAGCAATCATCCAGTTTTTGTAACCGAATCTTACCGGCTTGCCTTTTATAAATTGTTTCGATTCGATGGATGACGTCCAACATATTTCATCATGGATTCATCCACAGATAGTAAATCATGTACTAAGCCCCACTGTAAAAACTTCTTGATGAGCATATCAGCAAGTGGTCTTACCTTGAATATTTTATCTGTGGATTCTGCAGCAGTTTCAGTGTCACAGAAATGTAGAAATTTCTTAATTTCTATAAACCTATTCTTTGACATTGTTCTTGATACAATGGGAACACTGCAGTCTTCTTCCAATGACCAGTATAGCCGTTCTCTTGGAAGTGTATGGTAACCTGTGAGAATTATGATTTCAAAGAAGTTTTTGAGTTCTTCGACTGCCACATCGAAATCGTGATTCTGTGCGGTATACAGCTTTGTATAGTGAAGAGTCATGTTCATTACCTCTTCATCAAATATTTTCTCAAATATTTGGACCGCACTCAGATCCTTGAGATCAGTTATAAGTCTCTCCCTGCGCATCTCAACATTATTATTGACTGAACCAACATTCTCATAAAAACTGTCACATTTTCGCCATCGAGGTTCGTTATCTGTTCGTTTTCTAACCAGTTTTTGTAATGGTTCATCATCACTACTATCCCACTCATCGTCCCGCTGAGGCACAAAAACTTCCACCCTACCGGGAATATCACGCGGGAGTATATTCTGCTGTATGTTGTCTTCGTCACCTTCTTTTTCATCTGTTAGGACACTTGGATTTGGAGGGATAGCTACCAAATCATAACTGACACCAGGGTCTTCATCTTCAGCCAAAATGTTTTCTAACGCTTCTTCCAGTCCTTTATAATCATTTCTTGCATTAAAAGATCGTTTGGCCATTGTTTATTTCAATATAATACCTAAAATGAAAAATATTATGAGTTTAGTAAAATGTATGCATTACCATTGTCCCTAAACAGGGACACCTAAATAATTTCTGACAAAAAACAAGAAAAATAACTTAATCGTCTTATAAAACCTCCTTACTGTTTAGATAAATGTACAAACTTATAATAAACATTAACACATCATAAGCTATTATACATACATATAAAATAAAACTGCTTACCTTTAGGTAGATATCCTAGCTGAAATTTCCACTAACACAACAACACATTTAAACAAGTTTTCATTTATTTTATTCAATAAATACAATAAAATCAAAAAGTTTCACTACTCAGGATAAGAAATGCATCCGAAATGAATGTTTAACTAAAATAATAAAAATGTTGTGGGTAGTTAATTCACTGTCCCTGTATAGGGACGGCGGATCCAAATGGGTTAAGAATAATTTGACATATTATTATACATAATCGATTTTGAAAAATATCCTTCTTAATAAAAATTCTGGGTTTTTGTGGATTGCCTGAACATTTATGAAAATACGCTCTGTAACAGCGAAAAAGTAACAAGTGCTTGAAAAATTCGTCAGTCCTGTTAGGTCCTGGGTAATTTAGTGGTTAGAGCAGTCGCCCGGTTTGCAAAAGGTCATGGATTCGAGTCCATCTCAGAGTTTTTTAAGAATTTGACATATTGTCAGGACGTGTCGCCCTGTGTACTACATAAAATATGAATAGTATTTACCATCCTGCCAGCGACGGAGGGTCCAGCGCGTGTTTTCTTCTGCTCCTTGTATGTGAGAACACTCTGGAATTAGATGACTAAATCAGTGAAGGATAACGATGGTGGCTATCTATCATATAATCTATCGAAAAAAAAACATGCTAATAATTTTAATAATCTTTGTACTAAGATAATTTTGTCTAATAACCGCTGGCTTTTTTACCATAGTGGGCCTTATTAGTCGACCACACCTTAATTACTGATTGTACTATTACAATTTTGTATGAACAGCTGATTATTTTTTCGTGAATTCAGTGTTGCTTCCATAGTAAAAGTTGTTCAGTATACTAAACTAATCCACCCCACTAAGTCCTGGCACATATTAATATTTCACGTTATATATAATATACGAACATCGAGGTCTGTATCGTGGGGCACGTGGTCGCCCGGGCGCATCTCGAGCGCGGCCACGGGGCAGCACGAGTCCAGCACCGTGTACGCCCACCGCTTCACGCGAGACGTACTGCACTCTATACACTTGTCGGTCTCCTCGTGGATCTACACACAATGGTATCCAAACATTTCAATACTATAAGACCTTTCAGTTCAGAATGTCTAATTCTCAAAATAGGTATCTATCATTTTCAAAAAAGATAAAAAATGTTCATAAATGTTATATATCTTCTGAAGATTCAATTAAAAAATAAAATTGAGTTCCCATAACAACTAATTATTTATTTAAATAATAGAATATTTATTTAATTGATTGGCATAACCATAATAATAATTAGTTACTATGGGAACTCAACATTCTCTTTAATTGAAACTTCAGAAGAGTCATACGAAGTAGGTTGGTAAGTAGGTTTTATAACAATAAAGTTGAAAGGTTAGTAGTCACCGAATATTTTTGCTATATAACAATTATATATATTTTTAAATCAATTAACAAAAATGTAATTTACCAATATTTGTATTTTGTCTCGCGTCAAATGAAACATCAATCGGAGCGCGTGACGTCATTTGTGGGTAAATTGGTAGTGAAACAAATAGTAAAAGTATCTAGGAAAAGCGCAGGAAACATACAAATTGCAGAATAACCTTGAATAATTTACTTGATTTTTTAATGGTTACAAGGGTCACTTTACAGTTTTATTAATTTGTGAGTTTACATAAGTAATGAAGATGATATTTCATTTTTTACACTGGAAATCCCTTTTGTTTATTAAGCCCACAAAAAGCGTTCTCCGTGTCACCGTTTACGCGGTTTTTTTAAACAGTTAAATTTTAAACATAAATAGTATTTTATTTTGTGGGGATAAAAATGCAATAATGATGAATTTAAAACAGTTTTCAGAAAGTAATCTCCTAGATCTAGAAAGTAGTAGATAGTAGATCTCCTATTGTCCAGTTAATATATAGCAAGCTAATTGAATTAGTATGAGGAATGCCTTTAAATTAATTTTAAACCTTGTTATATGTATATTATTATTTATTTAGCCATATATTCAACAAACATATCATAATACTAGATAGAACGTTTCTGCGATTGAATCTCAGGAATTGGGCATTTTGAGATTTGGCATTCTGAACTGAAAGCCTTTTTTAGCGACTATATATACTTTCAGATGTGAATAACTCAAATTTGACGAAAGGAAAAAGCAATATTATTATTATTAAACAAAATTTTTTTAAATCTCATTTGTTGTGTGGGAGTTTCATTAATTATTTATTTTATTATTTGTCGTTATAATGACAAACAGAAATAGATCATTTCTGTAAATTTCAAACTGTTCTGTCATACAGTCTGGCGACAGACAGACAGCGGAGTCTTAGTTTTTACCCTATGAGTATGGACCCCTAATATTATTAAATTATAAGAGTCAGCCCTGCAATTCTGTAAAAATCCAAACCCGAATTTGAATTCATTCATGTATCTGAATTCAAATCAAAAAACGACATCCGTTCAATCTTGATAATAACGTTTTGTACTACCAATTCATATTCACCACGAATAGAATATCTGAGACACGTATAATCAAACAATTTTGTTTTGAAATTTTTTGTACAAAAAATGGAATCAATCGAATTTCTACACCAAATGACGTTCCCCTGTTCCGGGCAAATGGAGATTTACCATACGCATATAATTATAAATATAAATTAAATTATATCATGATTTTAGCCTGTCAACACTGCTAGGGCATAGGCATGGGTGAAAATTTTTTTTTTAATATACAATAACAATACAAATAGTCAAATCTAATGTTAATAGTGAGATTATCCACTTAAATGTCATACAAACCTCACAGCCGAGTCCGGGCGTGTATTTAAAGGGGTCCTTCTTCAGTTGAGCAAGCGCTAGTGAGTCCTTTGGGAAACCTTCGTCGCTGCGACTCTTGATGGCGTTGATCAATGTGAAAAACAACGTATCCAGTTTATACACTCGGAAGATACTGTCGTCTTCAGCTGCAGGTTCAAGAACGTAATAATATTATATATCTAATTCATAACTGTCTATCACTTACGGGGCTGAAGTCACGGGTATTAAATATATATAACTAGTATTCAAAAAATTTGGCCTAAGTTTAATTGGAATTAAGAACTGAGCTTAATCTTTTAAATATAAAATCGAGGGTATTTTTTAAATACAGACGTGTTGTATTGGTTTATACATGTGCAAAAAATATTATACTGCAATAAACAATAACATACTGAATCAAAATTATAAGTAATAATCGCATCTTTAATAGAATCTGAACTACCCACATTTTGTCATTGTTATCTACTTAAATGACAATAGTACAGTGTCTTCCTCAAATCAATCATGACAGATATATTATTTTGTGATCTAGTAACAAGAAATGTGTCATAAAGTGTTGTAGTTGAAGCACTATCGACTTTCCATAATTACGATACGGGCAGAATTGCTCTACATGCATTTATAACTATAAAACGAAGGAGTTTTTATTTTAAAACATTGTTTATGTATGGATAAAGTAATACTGTTTGCTGGGTAACAGTGTAGCCTTCTTAAAGATCCACACTATGACGTCAAAATTAAGACTCAGCCTGCAAATAAAAATGTATGTGCCTACAGAACGATGATACCACCTACCTTCCAATAAAATTTCCCGACATGAAATATTATTCTGTTTCAAGAATCAGTGTTTTTAAATTTGGACAATATCGGAGTATCGGCTAGCATAGTATTGAGATCACATATCACACGGCGAGCACAGTTTCACCGCATTGTGCCTACCCTTAAGCATTTCGATGTATTTAGTGTACGTTACTATAATTAAGATTCATCGCATGTGAAATTGAAAATTCGATAAACTTAAATTGCGACAAAATAATCATCCACTGCTACTGTCACGCTTGTTACATACATATTATTACATTCACTTAAATTTAGTTTTTTGTTTGTTATTGTTTGGTAAAAAAATGAAATTCTATTTAGTCCGTCAGTCAGATAATAGAAAAATATTAGATACGTATTTTCTTTTACTTCAATTTAACGAGAAATAGCTTAGATAACAGGCATTAAAGTTGAGGAGTGGGGGCTCGCTACGTCACAGTTGAGTAGAAAACTTACTCTAACGTGACGTCATGCGAAATTTCAACTCAATGTAACGCCGTAATTTTATGATTACGAAAAAAATTAAAAATACGTGTTTAATATTTTTTAATACTCTAACTGACGGACAAACAAACAAAAATTAGTCATCATCTCTATTATGTTACACGAACTATAAGATTCATCATAATCTTTACCTGCTCTGGTGCACATTTGAAGAATAAAATCGTGTACGGGTGCAACTTTTTCAGGCATAGTGAACAGTGGTGGCATGGCCTTCACGTCGGGGTTTTGTTGCTTCAAGTAGTCGATCAAATTGGCTAAGATCTGGAAGTAGTTGGTCCGCGGTAGACTCTCGTCTGGCATCTCCAGTCCTATTTCTTGACTGCCAAGTTTCACGTCGGAAGCGTACCCTACCGGGATCTTACCTGTCACAAGTAACACATTCACTGCTTAAGATTCTACAACAAAAAACCCTTAAACCGTCCGAAAAAGCTGTAATCAAAACTGAGAAAACAACATAATATTAGGGGTTTCTCTCTTTATCCTGTCTTAACTCTTCAGGTGTAGGCCTCCTTCGAATTACGCGATTTGTAGCGATGTTTGGCTACTTGCATCCACTCTTTCTCAATAGTCATTATCCAAACGCATTTGAGGCCTCTACGGAGGACGCATTTGAGGCCTCTCCGGAGGACGCTTTTGACCCCACAGTCGATACTCAAGCAACCATTTGCTCCATGAAGTGATATTGTGGGCAATATTACTAGCCCATTCACACTTTAATTTGGCTACGCAACTGACATCTGTGACCGTTGAACATGAGCAAAATGTTACTTTATAAAATTTTATTGAGAAAAATTACAAATTTACCTCTAAAATTCGCTATTATATCTTAGATATCTTGTCATTTTACCATTTCAAAAGTGATAAGTATGCGAGTCACTTTGTAACCGAGAGAAGTATGCAGCACTTTTGCAATAATCATAATAGTTTGCAAGTATATAATTAAAAAAAAGTTAAGTTTTGTATTCTACAAGTGAAAAAACAGGTTTTTGTTATATGTTCGTAAAATACGAACCATTTTAACTTAAAAATATTTAACAAAGTAAATTTTATGACTCTAATTTGGATAAGTACAAAAAATTGCTACAAAAGTTAGTTACATAAAATGCTAAGACTTTCATTATAATAGCATAGCTATTCACAAAGAACAAAGACATTACAAAAATTGCTCAGACAGGGCCATACTTGAATTTGTAGGGAACGTTTTCGATCGACTAGCAGAAATTCCACAAACATAGCACCGCATCTCAGAAACTATTAATCTCTAGTATTTATTTATAAAATAAAAAAAGTTGTTAACTAGTTTATTCGTTATCCTCTGTCCCTACAACGAGTTAGACAGAGTCTTTTAGATATACGCTTCCTCTTAGGGCGCTTTTAGCGCTCTTAACAAAATTGAGACCTAGACGATAGAGTTGAAATTCGACATAACTGAAGGCGCATTGTTATAATGCGGTTGTCAAACAGAAAGAATTTTGTTTCCCTCCTGCCTAATATTTATCATAAACATTTAGGTTGACTTTATTATGATCCTCATTTACTATTTAATTCTTTACCAAAGAAAAATACTTTAGTAAAAAGAAAACTGTGTCAGACTAGCTGTATATTTTGGGGAAGAAAGGCTGTAAACACTATTTCCACAACAACTTAATGATGAAGTTTAGTTGAAAATTCCAAGCTCTCAAAATCTGTTTCAATATTTTATAATCCATATTTATCTACACTTTTTTACTGATCCTGTAAATCTCCTGTAAACTTGGAATTACACTGTTTAGAACCTTTTTTTACCTGAGGTGCTTATTATAACATTTCTCACCTGGATTGATAATCTCATGGTATTGGTCCTTGATACCGTCTTTCAAATTAAATCTCAACACAGTACTCTCAGCTATGATATATTCATTACCCGCCTTGCAAAAATAGTTAACATCTATTAGATAAAAATCTTCATTAATTATATCTGCAAACAAAGATTGGTGTCGTAAACTTTTCATTATTCTCTACACTAGAAAGTCTTATTGGTATAATAAAGGTTTATTGTAAAGCTTTGTTTCATTATTATTGAAAAGCTTTACAATTCAGGCACTATGAAGTTGCAATATCAGTATGCAAAATATGCAGATACTGAATTGCAGATACAGAACATGAATTTTATAAGTTCAGAATATAAAAAATCATAAACTAATTGAAAATTGTTCCTAAAATGATAATAATTATTTCAGATAAAGGCCTTTTAATGTAATCCATAAGGAAGAAAAAACTATTTTCTATATATATTTCAAAAATATATAGCAGTGAAGTGGGTAGTTGCATTATATCATGAAAAGCTTGCTAAAGTAGATCCATATTAAAGGAAACATTTTTTGTAATAATATTTTTAGATTAATTGCACATTCACTTCTCTATTATCCTCAAGCTTATGAAGTACGATGGAGTGGTTCATCATCTTTCACCTATTGCCAGCATTTGGGAAATGCTAATCTGAACTAACATTATTATTAAATACAAGTAAATATTATTATTTCAATTGCAAAAAAGAAGCACCAAATTAACATGCTTCCAAATATAAATGCTACTGCTTTCTTTTGTAAGCAAAGTAAACACTGAGAGTAAGGAAATTATTATTTGAGGTAGTACTTCCACTGTCTATCTATGGAAATAATTTAAAATAAATAAAACTGTTTAGTGTTAAATTTAAGTAGTAAAGCACAAACTTTCTCTACAACATAATTTTATAGGTTTTATTAATAAAATATTACTAGTTTTTTTTCAAATTACCTCCATTAAAACTCTTTAATTTTACAATATTTTTTATATCTTGCCGCTCATTCTCCTCGGCCTCTTTGAGTTCTTTCTCTTGCCTATCTATTTCAGCAAAGGACACTCCAGTAGAAGTGAATTTCATCTCTGGAATATTTTTCTTTTGTTTTTCTTTCTTGGCCATTTCTTCAAACTTTTTTCTTACAGATGGCGGAGCATCCTTTAAATTAACATTTATTTTATCATAACAATAAATATAATTGATTTATTGTTCATATAACATCAACTAAGCACATTAATCCCAATGTCATAAACAAATGATTGGAGAAAAAGATGTTGAAAATTTAAAGGTACTTTTAAGAAGTCTATTTGAATAAAGATTATTTCGAGTTTGTCTTTGAATAAGTCTCAAAATTAGACCAAAAAACAGGATACCATCGCACTTGAGATTAAACTCCCTACCCTCACTAGTTTCTCTTTTCATACCAACTGAAACATTAAATTATTTTGAGCAAATGAAAAAAGGAGATCATTTTCACAAAAGTTATACATATATCATCCACAAGAAAGATAAATATATAAATAAAATAACAAGTTAAATAGCTCTGTTAAAGAAATGAATTGACGATGGTACCGTCCGGTAATCCGGTCTGGAAACAGTTATCGTCCTACATAGGAGAACTAACAATTCCAAGAATCGGTGTCGAATTTTTGAAACTAACCTGAGCCGTATGATGCCGGCTCAGGTTAGTTAGTGTTAAAAACTGTACAATTGTGTCAAAAAAAAATTGATTATTTATTAATATGCGCAACCATCAGCATATTCATCACATCTTGTCCAATTTTAACATTAAACTTTCTAAATTGGAAATTTATAGTTACCCTCCACAAGGGACCAGCGGCTTCTGCAACCTCAGCCATATTTGCGTAATTAATGCCTTTTTTTCTTTGTTCTTCTTTATAATCAATCATGAAAAAGTAAAATGCGTTTCTTGGTTGTTTCTTTGGCATTTTAATAACTTTTTAATACCGAAAGTTGAAACTTTTTATCGTAGGACCAATACCAATAAGAAAATCGCTCTCTGCCTGTTTTTGAAAAGGCAAGTAAAAATGAAGAGAGGGTTTTTGTCAGGGCTGCCAGATGAAAAAAAGGCATGATCGTACGGCAACTACAAAAAAATCGTATTCTTAGGAAATTTAAAAATAAAAAGATCGTACAACAAAGAAGTTCAAATTTTTTATTTACCATTTCGACGTGACAAACAGTGCACTTGGCTTTAAATTGGTTTTTACTGGGCCCTTACCAGTCCTTAAACAAATCAAATTTTTCCCAATCGGGACGATACTTCTGTTATCTGTTTGTTCCTATCTGATGCAGAAAGCTCTCTTCTTTTAGCTAATTTCTTTTTTGGAGTACCTGGCGCAAGTCGCAAGCTATAGCAAGCTATACTGTATGCAGATCGAAAGCTGTTTAATCACTACGTATAGCTCGATATCAACGAGAAAAACATGTTTTTGACAAGTCCAACATAACTCGTTACAAGAGAAAAGTAATAAGTTTCGTAAAAATGCACACAAATATAGACTTTTTTGCATTTTAAAAAGGTCTTCTTTCAAGTAAAAGATCTAGGTATAAGTAACGTTGATATGGAATTCCCCGAACATAAACCTGCCAGAGGAACACATTCGTTTTATAACGAAATGTTGCTAGGTGCAGGAAAATCGTACTCTTTCCGTACGATCGCAGTCTAGCGATCGTACATGAGTAGAAATGCCAATAAATCGTAGGAGTACGATTTAAATCGTACATCTGGCAGCCCTGGTTTTTGTTGCCAGTATATTGTGTTGTGAATATCAAATAATCTTTTTGTTTGAATCGACAAAATTCGAGAACGGCTGGGCAGATTCGGATCCAGGGAAGGTTTGAACGGTGACGAAATATGGAAAAGCCGCGAAGAAGAAAGGAATAATATTATTGTTACAGATCAAAATTTACTGTAATTCTAGCGAAGGGAGAGATTTAATGTCGTTAAATCAAATCAAATCGAAATTATTTATTCAATCTAGGCTTTTACAAGCACTTGTGAAAGTCGAGATCCTCGCCATTGGTTTGTAAATCTACAGCGGGAGACCTTGACCCTTGTACCGAAAAGAACCGACAAGAAACTATTTGCTACGAAAGATCGCCATCGCAAAAAATATTATACACAAATATTATAAATTCGCGGGCATTCAATTTTATTAGATAGTAGTATTCAATTAATTTATTTCACAACACTATGAGCAAGTACAAAAAAAAGAAATCACTAAAAAAGCACTTCACTAGATGGCGACTCTAGCAAAAGTTGATTTTTGCAGGAAACGAATGGACCAAAGATAGTCATTTCCGTTCCTTTAACTAACATATTATAAAACTAAAATTTACAATATAATCTAAAACTGAAAATTATATCATTCAAAAAAGGAAGCGTTATCCACACACTAAGCTCTACACTAGGCGTGTGTTTCAAGCAACAAATGTTGAGGGAGGTCTCCTTAATTAATTTAAATTTAAATATTGACATTTAGGCAATCTGTTCTGCACATGCACATCTATTGTTATTATATTGAAAGTAACTCTTCGTAAAGCTATTGTCGATGCTGTTTGCATTTTATAAAGTATATATTTTTGGTGGTAAATAAACTCATGTGATCTAAAAGCTCCCTGGTCTTTCTCTATACCCTTTTTACCATCGGGTATCAACAAACACGTACCAAACCATGGCAAAGACATAACATCTTTATTTATGTCCTTGGGCAAGATTGAGGTTAAGAGGTAGCCCATTATAGATAAAAAAACCCAGTGTACTTAGTATCATCAATCCTTTTTCGCAAGAAATAATGGGGGTACCACAGGAATCTATTCTGGGTACCTTCTTGTGTTTAACTTTATGCGTTATAGTATTGTTAGCAGATAATTCTTCTCTAATATTTAATATTAGATGTAAAAATAACTTTGAGGATGTAAACAATGCTCAATAATCTCCAGTTAAATGCTAAAAAAACACCAAATGTATAAAGTTTATGTCACATAATGTAAAAGCTAAACTAACAGAAATTAAACTTAATGATGAAAAGCAATTTTCTTGGGTGAAACCTTGTATCCTAAATTGTAATGGCATCTTCACCTTTCATTATTGGTAGGAAAACTAAGTTTAGCTGCCTTTGCAATGAGGAAATATTTTAAGAAAGAAAAAAAAGCACTAAAAAGCACCTCACTAGATGGAGACTCTAACAAAAGAAACGTAAACGTTAAAAAAAACAAAAGATAGGCATTTCCATTCCAAGTTAAGTCAAGGCTCGGTGCACATAAATCACCGAAGAATGTGTGAAGCACCGATTTTCAGACGTCACCCAGTCCAGAGTGAGCGGGGCATGGTTAATAAGAAGAATTCAAAAATGTCCAAAACAAAAGAAAAAAATATTATTAATGTAATGTAAGATAAATAATAATAAGTTAGATAACGCAGAGGTCAAGTTAGTGACAAATTAATATTAAATAGATTTAAATATATACATGAGATTATAATACAATGTCAATTGTGTCAATGTTAAAAATATAAATTAAAATTAAAATTCATATAAATTGAAAATAAGATATTCAATATACTTTTATTACGTCAGCAAGAAAATTTTAATGAATATCGTAATTATCAGAAAATCGGTTTGCAATAAGAACTAACTTTTTTTAAAATATTTTTTCATTGCAAAAACAAAATCTTTAAAAATCGCATATCGAATTTTTATCTATTTTAATCAATCTTCTTTATAGAACAAAATAAAAAACTTAAGACCTGGTTTTGGATATTCAAAGATTATTACTCAGTTTTAATAATTTTAACAGTTACGAGATAGTAAACTTAGACAAGTCACAGTTTTGTTATAATCCAATTTTTTAAAAACCATTCACGAGTAACATAATATATTTGACTATGCGCTAGTGTTAAATACCTTGAAGTGCTAAATAGCCTAAAACCGGATCTTCTGCTAAACCCTTAAAATTAAAAATTCGAGAACTAGTATACCTATGGATTTACCGTGGGTAAAGAAATAGATAAGTTCAGTGTTTTGGCTATATGCCCGCTCTTTCAGTTTTTGCATTGTACTTAGTAACTAATTTACAGCAGTCCGATGTAGTTGTGCGCAATGACTATGATTATCATTTGTTATCAGAAAGCCACGTTATAATGACCTAACTGTACATTACCTCACAAAAGAAGTCCCGCGATATAACTCTTATTACTTTATAATAATCCTAGGGACTTCTTTCGAGAGACGAACTCTATATATTCTGTTATATAGAGTTCGTCTCTTTATAAGAGAGTGCCCGTAATACACGGAAACAAAAAAAAACGACTTTTAACATTATTATAATAAAATACCTAATCATGGGATATTGTGGCGAAAATAGAATATTTTTTAAATTAATTTCGATTTAATTGCAGGTTTGATGAATTTTTTGGATCATTCACCTTCGAAATATTGATTATAATATAATTGAATGTTTGCATTTGCTACGCACTTCACTAAAGGCAATTTCGATGAAACATTCTACTATATACGATATTAATCTATGGATGAAGTGACGTTTTTGTCTGTTTTTTTGGCGGGAAACTTTCGAGGCGGGAGGTTCAACTTTTTCTTTTAAATAATAATTATTTAATTTTTATTGTTAAACTCAGAGTAAACTTCATTTATATTAAGTACTGAAAGTTGACAATGGGTTCAGATAGTGGAGGCAGCGAGCCTACACATGGTAAAAAAAAGAGAAAAGCAAGTCCTCTGGTGGACTTTTCTGATGATGATGAAGATGTAAAACATGCACCATACTTCAAGAAAAATCACATAAGGAGCTACCCTGAGAATTCTCCAGGCACAGTATTTCCAGTTTACATACAAAGTACAAATGAAACAATTAAATTTGGAAATAAAAATCCTATCTATTTAAACAATATATTCAGTCGGTACAATAAAGGTGTGAAAGAAATCAAAAGAGTCAATGCTTTGCGGTATGCTGTTATCTTTGATAATGCAAAGAATGCAAATTCTCTGTTGTCTAATTCCTCTTTCTTGTCATTGCATGAAATTAAAGCTTTCATCCCAGCTGCAACTTCAGAATGCATAGGAATTATTAAATATATCCCTGTTGATCTCAGCTGCAAACATCTTTTTGATAAACTTATTAGTTCCCAGGAAATATTGGCTGTACGCAGATTTACTAGACGAACTCCTGATGGTATTGTCCCGTTGCAGACTGTTTCAGTGACATTTGCAGGTAATGTACTGCCCGAACGTGTGAACTATGGTCTATGTCTTGTACCTGTAGAGGAATATATTAAGCCAGTGTTACAATGCTATAAATGTATGGGTTTTGGTCATACTACAAAGTTTTGCAAACGTAACATTGTATGCTCAATATGTTCAGAGTCTCATTCATACAAAGAATGCACCAATACAAATAAACCACTGTGTATCAATTGCAAAGGTGAACATATTGCCGTGGCTAGGACTTGTCCAGTTAAACTACAGAAAATTAATGAAAATAAAAGTAAAATAATGAACAGAAATAATTTGGGATCGTTCTTTCCTGCACTGAATAAGTCTTATGCCAAGGCAAGTAGTTCTAAACCTTTAAATGTACCTAATGAAAATAACAAAGCTCAGAATATTTTAACCGACGTTATTAATAACGAAAAAGTACTTAAAGCTATCATCGATACATTGCTTATGTTTTGCAATAAAGAAAATAGCTTACCAATTAATTCTTCCACTATAAAAGAGATGTTTATCAAAAAAGTTACTCATAATGGATAGTAAAACATTAGTTGTTATACAGCACAATATCCAAAGCCTTAAACCTAAGTTGGCTTTTGTTTGCGAGCTATTAAATTCACTAAAAGTAGATATTTGCATACTTAATGAAACTTGGTTGAAACCGACAGATTTAATAAGAATTAGAGGTTATACAATTTTTCGAAGAGACAGTGACAATGGATACGGCGGTGTTGCCATTTTATGTAGAAATCATATTCAGTGTTCTGAAATATTTACTCATAGCACCGATAAA